TCCTCTGAAGGAACACACACCGGCTCGACACCATAAGAGGGTGGGGGGGGGGGGGGAATAATTGAGTGAGAGCGCACCAATATTTTTTATTTCCTCCCCGGCAAAAAAGAGATTGTGGTCATGTTTATGTCCAAAACATGACAAGCTGGGGGTGAGAGAGGGGGGAAATGTACTACCTAATTTTAGACTTTTATATATTTTATAAACATCTTGCTTCAGAGGAAAATTTTTTTTTCTTTTCTGCAGACAGAACACAAAAATAATATTTAAACATTTTAAAAATTTAAAAATCCTTTCTTCCCCAGAGAATAGGCTGATTTGACAAAAAATTAGTTTAGTATCTGCTGGAAAACAAGTTACAGTAAACTCCAGAAAAAGGGGGGTCAAAAGATACTCTTGACCGCCCCCCCTGGATCTGCGGAGTGTTTTTGTATTTCAGGGATAATTTACAAGTCTTACAATCCCCCCCAGCCCTCAGAAAACAATCCGCATATCACAATTAACCCCTCAGATTATTAAACCCATGATTGCTCAGATTTCATCAAATCTATTCTCTTAAAACTTTAAAACTTATGAATGAGAAGATCTAATTCTAATCGGTTCAAATCAGCCCTAATTGTAAGAGCTTGGATAATAATTAAAACTTTTTTAACCGAGTCAAATCAGTCTTTGGACTTCTAAATTTAATTAATCTAATCCCTGTATGTCTTGTGTAAATTATCAATAATTTCCAAGAAGTTTCGACACCACGTGAATGACAAGCGTTGAAAAACCTGCTTAACCACATACTTATGGAAATAAAGACCGAATTTAAAGAATTTGAGCCGCGGTTTAAATCCGCCAAAACACGGTTTAAATTAAGCGCCGACTTAAATCTTGAAACATTTGATACAATTTTAAGTGGAACCAACCATATTTAAACCGCGGCTTAAATTCTTTAAATTCGGAAACAGGTATTTTTGTGACAAACTTAGAGAATTTTGCAGAGATCGAATTCCTTTTAGGACATTTCAAACAATAAGATTGGTAAAACTTACAAGAAGGTAGGGTAATGGAAATTCATTATCCTAAGACTACATACAGAAATAATAACATTGTTTAGACTCTTTAGACTAAAGCAAATCAAAAAGATTAGTGGGGTGGGGGGGGGGGGGAAGAAAAAAGGACGTTTTGAAAAATATTGATTAATTTTCTTCTAAATACAGACACATCCCTTGGTGGAAGATAAAGTCCTGAGAACCTATCATTAATATTAGTAAACTTTGTATTATGTATACGCTGGATTATCATTAATAATGGTAAACTTCGAAATATAGATAATTCACGTAGCAGGCGGACTTCCGGGTTAATTTCGGAACACCACAGAGCTCAAGTTCTCATATGCAGTAAATTCTGCACGATTTCAGAATTTTAAGACGTTTTCGAGGACTTGGTAATAAGCTCAGCATTTTTAGGGTCTTAAAGGGGAATTAACCGAACATTTAAATTCTAGATGTTCTTGAAGTAGCGTATTAAATTTTACAAGAGAAAAATATGAGTTATTAACGTTGGCATTACAAATAAGTAATTATTCCATTTTTGTTGACAAAACTTCATGAGAAAGATTCTGAAGGTAGGATGGGGGGTAACTTCTAGTAAGAATATACTCTCAAGACTCTATTCACCCACGCCAATTAAACTAAGTAACAAATTGGTTAAAAGTTGCAACTTTTACAAATAAGATGCACTTGGTCCATATCAAGTTTTTTTCGAGTTAAATTTTGCAAAATATTCGTGAAATAATGCAAGGGCAGCGAGGAACTGACAGTAGGTGAAGGCATGTAGAAGTAGAGTATGAAGAAGCAAAAAAAGGGTTAAAGAAAAAATAAAGAATAGTTCCAGGAAGAGAAAAATAGGGGGTGTGGAGATTAAAAATTAAAATTTTTTTTTCAAATTTTCTACAAATAAATTGAAAAATGGGGGGGGGGGGGTTTAAGATCGTGATACGAACTTTGTATCTTCTCATTTTACAAAAAAAGAAATCGCCTTAAAATTTCCAATATTCAATAAAGTTTTCAAGAAATCAATATGTTTAAATATATAGAATATAGATATTTATGTGCTAATTTTATTGCATGCTTTAAATAACATTTTTTCTTGTTCTAGAAAATAGTAAAAAGTGTATTTTAATTAAATACATCCACCAAGTGTTAGAAGAATCCATTAACAGATTAAGATCTGTAAATTTGCAAACTAATATATTTGGCCGAGTTTTCAGAATGGCAAAAATGTGCAAAACCGATGTATTTTGTTTACAAACTATAATCTACAGAACATGATAAGTTTGCAAATGGTTGAACGCTTATTTAAAAGGTGAAGCAAAACATTTAAAATTTTATATTTTTCATGGAAAATTTTTATTTTAACATGTTTCCACAATATGTTTTAATTCTTCATGACATGTTTTAGTTTTTTTACACATATAAAATGTGCATACTGTTAACATGACCAATCTGTAGTGTTTGATCGAAGTTAAAACTTTTATATGAAATAGCGCTAATCTACCACGCGCTCGATCTCAAAAAATACTTCTGCAACCTTAAAATTTGAGGACAGTCCTATTAATCCTTCAATTTTAAATATCCCTGCCATGTGGTGTTAGGCGCTTTTACATTTTCCCAAGGGTGACTTCCCAAGTATCAATTTCCCAAGTGGCAACTTCCCAAATGTGCAATTTCCCAACGGCAGTTTCCCAAAGGTTAGGTTAGGCCTTCTAAGGCGCCGCAGGCTGCAATGGGGATCGAGAGCTGCGGCTAGGATAAGCAAGAGGCCGAGCGCCACGGCTAGAACAGGCCATGGAGGGCCGAGCTCTGCGGCTAAGGACAGACTTGAGAAGTTTCTGCTTGGGAAATTGCACATTTGGGAAGTTGCCACTTGGAAAAATACCCTTGGGAAGTTGCCGCTTGAGAAAATGCCTTTGGGAAAGTAGCCATGTGTTCGGGATTAGCAATACAAAAATTTTGATCTTTCTGTACATTAAACGCTTGTGAAATGTTTAAAACGGTTGTTTGAACTAATTTTCAATTTTCTGAACCAAGGTAAACAACTTAACCCCTCAGTAGGGAGCCTTCGACCCCGAAAAAAAAATCGATCAAAATTTCTAGTTTTTTACAGATAAAAGTTTGTGAGAAAACACGTTTAGGTTTTTATTGAAACTTCAAATACCTAGTGCCTACATATATATATATATAAATACAAGGCCTGCGTATCAATCGACAAAATTAGTAATATCCATCATGTAGCGTAATTATCTAGTCCGATCTTAATTATACTCTAGGTGTGTCCAGAAATTAGAAAACCAGGTAGTTTTGACAATTTTGAATAATATCCTTTAAATAAAAAGATAAATATTTAAGACAGATTTTATTTAGTCTCAAATTTTGTTTTCTATCTTGAAATTTTTGGTACAGAAGCTGTGCATAAGAAGGCAATGGGAGTTAATAACTTCACAAAAAATAATTCATTGAACTACAGGGTGTCTAAATAAGGGCTAATTGACAATTTTGATGGTTTTTATTAAATAAGATTTTTTTCTTTTATATAATTATACTTGGCAATAAAAATGCTCAAAGTCATAAACTTTTAAATTGCTCCTATTTCAAATCATATTAAATTGCATCCTTCTTTAGACTAATTCTACGCTAGCCACTTGAAACCCGGGTTCACAATACTATCAATTAGAATCCAACTTAAAATACATGTTCTGAATGATACATAAATAATTCAGACAAAGATTTATTCTCGTTCAATTTGCGTTTTTGCGTGCTTGGACCGTAATGCGTAATGTTTATTTATTCTAAATTATTGCGTATTAAAGCGTAAACATTCCAGCCGGTAGGCACAAGCAACATTTAGCTGTTTTTTTTACCATCTTTCAGATTCCTAACCTTGAAGAGGTTTTAAAGTTTTTAACAAAGTATCTTGTCATTGTTGATTGGGAATATAGTGAGGAATTCAACAACCAGTTTTGCAAATGGAAAAAAAATATCATGTACAGTAAGAACCACAAAACTGTAGTCGTCTATATTTTTCCATTATAAAAAGGGACTGTAAGCGTAATTTCATGTGACCTTCATGCAAAGATTGGCAATGCCCGATTTACAAGTGCCCTCTCAAAACCTTAATCTGATAAAAATTCGCTGAGAAACCGGAAGTGAAAATAAACATTTTAGAGAAAATAAAACATGGATATCTGTTACATTCTTGATCAGGCAAAGCTGGGTACCGTTGTAAATCAGGCGTTCTTTGCCTCAAAGGTCACTTGAAACTACAATTATTCCCTTTAGGAAATGTCGCTTCACTAATTTTCAATTAATGCAACTGAAGAAATAGCAAGTGGTAGTTTCTGCATATCTTTATTACAATATCGCAAAAAAAATGTTTAAGAAAAATATCTAAGGAAGCTAGAGAATTAATTAAACTTAAAAATTTACTTTAGTCCCTTTTTAATTTGATGTGAGAACTCCCCAATTTATGCTGAACCAACTTCCGTTTTGTTTATTAAAATCTAGATAATCTGCCCCAAGCTATTCCTTATCCGAAGCTATTTACCNAAACAGGGGCTACAGGGGGAGTTTACGGAAATATGAAACAGGGGCTACAGGGGGAGTTTACGGAAATATCAATAGAAACATAAGGGAAGGGAATGATTGAAAGAAGGGGAGAGTAGGGAAGAATGGGACTTCACGAGACGACAGTTGGGAATTAATTGGCCTATTTCTAACATCCTTGGTTCCTTGCAACAGTAAACATGTTTATTTGATTAGCAAAATCGTTAAGTAAACTATTCATAAGCCATATTTAAGGCAGTATTCGCCATCTAGAGCTTTTTATTTATAGAGCTAATAAAGGTGTCTCACCCTTTATGGGTAACCCTGTAAAGTGAAGAGTTAGGAAGTAGGGTTTAATTATCACTTATCATTGACAAAGTATGACGATCGATCGATGGGAGGAAGGAGGGGCTAAGAAGTCCTCCTCTGTATCGGAAGACGGATGCTGGTGGGGATGGTTCGCGAGGCTACCTGTATATCAGAAAGTTACAAGATTTTTAACCTCGACCAACAAGATAAGTTCAAATATTTAAAACAAATATTAAGTTTCAAATAGCGGCCGTTTTTACCTTTCATTAAGGTCACTAAGGTCACTACAAGTTTTTGGAAAGACTAGGCTCCTCTATTTTAACTTTTAATTGTGGCTCTGTCTGTAAGCATCTTCTCTTTGTACAGTGTAAAACAATAACAAAAAAAGTTTTTGTAATCTACATCATCCATAAGCCTTTCCTGCGAGGTTCCACACAAAATTGGGGCCTGATAGGCCTTCAGCCGTTTTGACATTTAAACAGACAGACAGACAAGCGAAGTTTATATAGAGATGCCGGAGGATTGGAAATCCGTAAAAAACTCTATAAGAGATGTTGAGGGATTTACCTAGATTAACTGCTAGAGATTCCAATTCTTCTTCACTAAACTCATCCGGACCATCAACACTCTCTTCCGGATCCTAAACAGAAAACAAACAAATTTATTTACGATTTTTCTAAAATTCTTGCCAAAAATTTAGAATCTTCTTCTTTGTTGTGAGAGCCAGTGGGACGTCATTATTTGATATTTTTGAACAATAAATAATAAATATATATGTATGTGGGCATTAGCTAACGAGGAAAAAATATCAAATAGATTTATCAAAATTAATATGAGGAAAAAATCGAAACAAAAATTATTAAAGATACAAATTGTAGAACCTTTTCCCTAGAAAATTCAAATTTTTTTAGTTTTTAAGTCTTGAATCTTAAATTCAGTAACATTCGACGACTATAAATCCCAGAAATACCATCCACAACGTCCTCTATGAATTTTTTAAAAACCTATTCTTGCAATTCCTAAATGTAAGGTCAAGTTCATGTTTATATCATTATGATAGCAAGTACCATGTTCATCCTTTACATGATCATAAAGTTGATTACCACTATCTAATGTCCACTGTCCACCAGGGGTGTACTAATTCAAAAATTACAAACTTACAAGGGAAAAAATGAAAATCAATTTTTTTTACTTATTTGATACTTTTTACCATCTTGCTTAACATCTAGCAGAAAAAAATTATTTTGAAAAGGACAGGTGTTTTTAGAAAATAGATATCCCTGATATCCAACTCCGTAGATGATACTATCCGATTAAGAAATGAGAAGTGACTTAACATTGATATAAATTGATAGATTTACATACGGCCCGACCTCTGCATGGCCCGACCTCTGCAGGGACCGACCTCTGCACGGCCCAACCTCTGCATGGCCTATACTAGAAATTGGGACTATATTTCTCTTCAATTAGCTGGCACAATTAATCAACATTCGCGGTTGCAAAAAAGACCGCACTTATAGGCGGGATGCAGAATATAGTTATAATAAGGACGCACATTGCAGATGCACTATCGATAAAGAACGCATATAGATAGAGGCATAACAGTGAACATGCAGATAAATATATCAGGATATTAATAGCCATGTTTTATGGTATAAAGAAGACAGGGAGGGCGGAATAAAACCAAAAAAATGTCAGCCCCCTCAAGTATTTTAGGGGGTCAGGGGGGGTGACTGGTTTTTGTCACAATACTTCTATTAAAATGCATTTGTCTTGTCTTTCATTGTGAAAATGGACAAAATGAATATATTCTGATGATCTAATCATTTACAAACATTGTATCTATAGTATTAGTACGTTGCATTGAGTTTTAATAATTTCCATTTTTGATTACTTTTCCCGTTCATATTTATCCTTGAATGGATCCTGTAAATCCGCAATATATTCAGAATGTCGTCTTTATCAACGCAAACTATTTCGGGGGAAAACACACACTTTATAGCTTTATTACACAAAATTACACCGGATTCAAGTAAATCTATACATATGAATAGATTCCAACAACCATCAAAGATGCAGGGGCGCCAAGAGCCCGCCCAAGTATTGGAATGGACTTTCAGAACGTCAACACAAGATTTCGATGACTTTGCGACTTCTCTCCAGAAAAAAATTCTAAAGCGACCCAGCCTTATTTGACTCGAATAAGAGCTAGGTTTATGGTGTGAACTCAATATTGCAATATTTATTTCTTCAATAGTAAATAAAATAAAAATCTGGGCGCAGGATAAAAATAAAAAATGAATTAGTTTGTACAAAATATGAACATGATCAGTGATGAGTAAATAGATAGATGGGTGGAGGGCTAGAAGGATTGATGATTGATCGATTGATATGATGTATATAAAGCTACTATACAATACCCTGGAGAAACAACGTGATATCTTGTCACGCGAACTCAGGTTCATCATAATTCATTCATTCATTTATAAATTTATTGGTCCATCCATATATCCACCCATCCTACCATCTTTCCATCCACCTATCCACTTTTCATTTATCCTTTCACTTATCTTTTCATTTATCCTTTCATTTATCCTTTCATTTATCCTTTCATTTATTCTATCATTTATCCCTTCATTTATCCTTTCATTTAACATTTCATTCATTCTTTCGTTTATCCTTTCACTTATCCTTTCACTTATCTTTTCATTTATCCTTTCATTTATCCTTTCATTCATCCTTTCATTTATCCTTTCATTTATCCTTTCATTTATTCTATCATTTATCCTATCATTTATCCTTTCATTTATCCTTTTATTTAACATTTCATTCATTCTTTCATTTATCCTTTCACTTATCCTTTCATTTATCCTTTCATTTATCCTTTCATTTATCCTTTCATTTATCCTTTCATGTATCCTTTCATTTATTCTTTTCAATCCTTTCATTTTATTCATTGTTTCATTTATCCTTTCATTCATCCTTTCATTCATCCTTTCTTTTATCCTTTCATCCTTCTATCCTTTCATTCTTTCATACTTCCATCCTTTCATTCATCCTTTCATTCATTCTTTCATTCATCCTAGATAAAATGTTGAAGTTTGTCCATCTATGCATCTGCTTGAATCCAGATGAAATAGATAAGGCCTAGAATAGTGCTTGGGTGGGACTGTTTCAGGTTTAAATAGACCTCATTACAGGCAGACAATTGACCTATGAGATCGACCTTACAAGGCTAAATTAGGTGGATACTGTAGAAAGAAGGGGTGGTGTTTTATATTCATTCAGATTAAACAGGTTTCCAAACATTTTCCTTAATGTTTATTGACATTTCAACAAAAAGACATTTGTTCCATGGTTTAAGTCTGAGAAATCAACTGTTTACAATAAGTCTATATTGAGACAAAAAGACCGGTAATTTTCAACAAAAAAATGAATTTCCAAGGGTCCATCACAAAGGTGACTTTTTCCAAAAACAGTCGTAAATTAAATAAAATATTTATCATGAAAACTAAATGAGGGCAAAACATAAATTATTATTACTTGAAGAGGAAACATTTCGATTTAAGACAAGTTGAATTCAATCTTCTGAATATTGGGCGCGGTGTCGAGCGCGCATTGAAAAGAATTAGCTCGTGCTTCTGAAAATATTTCATGAGAAACCCTTTGTATATATTCATACAGCACAAAGAACAAAATATTGAGACGAATTGAAAGCAAATTGCAGATACAGGTTCCTACAATAAATTTTGATTTAAAACCCTTTTAAAGAAATTTTAGATCCATGACATTTTCATAATGAAATTTCAATATTAAAAAATAAAAAAAATAAAATTATGAAAATAATGATAAATAAATAAGTTCACTATTTCTATAATAATAAATATATGCAGTATGCCCCTGTTATGTGCATAGAGGAACTGTATACCAAATATAGATATTTGTCTTTATCTTAAGTCATAATCTAACACACGACAAATCTTTGCACAATGGTGGATGTTGCATGCAGGGGGGG